TTTAAAAAAAGAATTTAAAATTCCATGATATAAAGAGATGAAATTCATGCTTGGCACAAAGACGACATATAATTCAAGGTTATGCTATAATGTACAGTTACTGCGAAGCAAATTTTTTAATACTATGAATATTTGAAGGATTGACTTTCAAATCAAATTACTTTTGAATATGAATGTATTGAAAATTTGTTTGTAAGATGTGCAAATCATTATTTTTTAACCTCTATGGAACACATAATCAGTTTGCTTTATCCTTAAATTCTTTATATAAGATGAGATTTTATCATAAACATAATATTTCCCCAGGGTTTTTAAAAATTTTGTCAAGAATTCAAAAAACTTTATCCATATTCGGTATTATAATAGGCTCTAGGATCAACTCCACATGATAAATTCCTAAATGTAGTGAGGAAAGTCTTTAAACTATGCTCTTTGCTCTTTTTGATTACTAGTATTCAATTGAGGCAAATTAGGTAAAAGTGTGCTATATGTATTTCAGAATTTGAGCTATCCGTCATTCATTGAAATGCAGAACTTGAAATATTACCAGAGCCATAGAAAAACAACATTTGAACCACTGGTACCAACAGCATCTGATCAAGACCAGCCTTTAACCACAACAGAGAGGAGACATTCTTTGAGAAATAGAAGAGTGAGTCCAAGTCCGCATTCGGTATCTACTATTGTATCAGCTGGTCCACATAAAAGAAAATACATCAATGAATCTGTCCAATGTTTACAAGACATCCAAGATGAAAAGGATACTAGCAATGATGAAACGAATGAAATGTCACCAACTCCCAAGAAAGATTCGATGGATAATGGCATAGTGATTGATCCAGACCACCTTACACCCAAACCTGCATGGAATACAACATTGGATACCAGTGAAGAACAATCAGAGGTCTGAAAATAGAGGATTGTAACTTGTGACCATGACAGGATTTTACAATTCTTGTGTTTATATGACTGATCACATATTCTGTTGATATAATTCTTTGATACATGTACATAGTTAAATGTTTTTTTATTTTTTTTGTTTTGAAGACATTTTCTCTTAAAACTAAAAAATTTATAGTGGTTCAGTTATGTTACTTACATTTGAGTTATATTTATACTCTATATGGTATTACTCTTTCTTTTAATTCTTTTCTTTTTTTTGTATGTAGTTTTTCGGCCTTGCAAGATTAAACTTTCTTACAAATTGGTTGTTTGTTTTTCATAATTTAGATTAACATATTAATTGCATACATTTAACTTTCTTTGGGCCTGATGTGCGATCAAAACTTGAGTTTCAAATAAGGCTAAGACTAAATAGTGGGGCTTAATTGATCTGCATAAAAAGGCCTCTTGCACCTCATCACAGAATTTTATGGCACTGTCACACTATAAATGCAAGCATCTTGGCCATTATGGACTACATCACCATGTATGATATGGTCTCAACGGTACATCTAATATTTCTAGATAGAAAAGATTCCTATTCACGTTTGCTCTACTTTCCAAGTCTATTAAACAAGATTTTCATCCTTTCTTATTCTCAGATTTTCAATCTTCCCAGATGATATCTGACATCTTGTCCCTGTCCCCCCTCCCCCGCCTTCTTTTTCTTATTCTGCCCTTTACCAAATCATCCAGTTCCCTATATTTGGACTTCATCATGTCTCCATCAGTATTGGTCTTGTGTAAGTGCTACCAAACACGATGTGTACGATAGCTAGTATTTTCAGTGCTAATGAGTCCTCACTGTTGTAGATTAGTACATATGTATGTGAGATAGTGTATCGTACATCAGTCGCACTAAAATGCAATTCTGAATTAGTCTATCTTCCATATAGCTGTAACATTAGCTTGTAGCTCTCTGAATCCGAACAGACAAACCAGTTTGTTTTCACAAAATTTCTCTTCCATATATCTTGGGATGGTAGCTCTGTTTGAATTCGAACAGACAAACCAATTTGTGTTTATGAAATATCTGCCTTACTTGTCCGAGAGGTATAGTTCTGCAGCTATCTTCTATAGATCTGATCTATAGAGTTGTGTTCTGAAACTCTGGTCGAAGTTCTTATCTTATGGAGCTCTGCCCATAAACTGACATCAACTATTTACTCACCTTTCCTGGAACAATTTTACTCCTCCTTTTCTTGTCAATCTTAGTCTATTGTTGGAAATTTGACACATCAATCCCTTCTTTGCCCTTTCACGTTTTGCAAAATATGTCCCGCAATTCCAGGTTGCTCTCTTTGGTTTACTGCTGTAATTGTCGACCTCTTGTGTACTGACCTTGTCTCAAGCATGATAAACCTTTTAATTTGATCTTATGAGTCTCATAAGGTCACCACTTGTTTACATGTAGACCTTTGAACTCTTTAACAACTAGTGATAGTTGTAATAGGAGCGGGAATGTATTGCATTGCTGCAAGAGTCCAATTGGATTGAAGTTTGATGGAACTCCTAACATCTTGCATACCGGTACATGTAGCTGCTGACTGCTTATCCAAGCTTTACCAATGTTATCTCAAGATTCATAATGCACCAGCATCCACATTTGTCTCGGCAAGTATCTCAAGAATGTCGTTTCTTGTATTAACATCATTTATTAAGATGTCCCATCTGTGACGTCCTCCATCGTAGGCCATGCCAACCTCTCTCGTCTTTCTTGAAGCATGTAGTCTAGTACATCACAAACTTTCCATTTTTGTCCATATTAAGAATACAGTTTTAAAATTTGAAAATGTTGATTCTCGTGAAAATTGTAAACTTGATAATGAAATTTCTTAACACGCCTTATTTAAATTTAATTTTTCGGTCTGAAACGCCCTCTTAAGTCGTGAAACTCTATACAAAATTTTGAAGGATTTATAAACTTCCAATTTATTATTGCTAATCTCAACAGTTATAGGCAGGGGTTTGTGCGATACTGTTGATGGCGGCGTACTAGGTTTAAGTTTTTGAAGCAATTTTCCTTTTAAATACTTCTGTGCCCTCCATTTCATAGATGCATAGAACATGCTTCTATTTTGTTACAGTCAAGGTTACAGATGCTGCAATTTCAGGTAAGAAATGGTCTGTTTAATGTTTAAGTTCAGGTTAAGATTTTTAAAAGAAGCAGTTTAAAGTGTTAGGAGCAGGTCTTATTTCTTATCGACTGTAAGTCCTATGTTAACCATACATGATACATCTAATGATGCACACTACCAGGCTTGCTTCGGGAATTTGATCTACATTTTCCTGGCGAATGACCAGGTTAAAGTTTGTTTTTTTTTTTACTTTAGTCCATTACCAAGAAACCGTAAGGCCTATCTAAACCAAACTTGCACAAAATGATGCATCAAGGGATGAAAACTCTCAGACTTGCTTCAAATGCTGGATTTGACTTGCATTTTGTGAAAGAGATACCGGGATAACAGTTTGAAATTTTTGGCTATTTCTATTCCCAAGTAACTGCAAGCCCTATTAGAACAAAATCACAGGCACCTTGTATTTTGGGATGTACACTACTACATTGCACATTATTAGTTTGATATGTTTTACTCTAAGATAAGGTTCGGTAAGATGATCTCATTACCACCTATGTTTATGTCTCTGTCAAGCACAAATAGCAGGAAATAGGCCAATCATTTCCATCAAGGGAGTCGCCCGGGTGGCGCTGTGATTAGAGCGTCTGCTCTAGAGTCGCGAAGTAAGGAGTTCATCCTTACTTCGCGGGTTCGAATCCCACTGTGGGATGTGGAGGCCGGTACTTCGAATGAGGCCGTATAAGCCGAGATCCTGTGTACTGGCACGAAAATGATCCCTCCCTGCTCAATGGCGCCGAGTATAGATTAAAATTTGCAGGTCTCCATCGGCAAGTGGTGGCATCTCGATATGAGTGAAAGATTCTCGAGAAGGACGTTAAAACAATATACAATCCATCAAGGGATGTTTACTCTTCCTAAGCACCTGATCCCGCCTCTGGAATTTTCATGGATCTGTGCTTCATACCCTGTTCACATTTATATATTGTTACAGTTTTTCAAAATCGAAAACTGTTCGTTATCTTTGCCTTTCACATTTCTCCTTTTTAGCTCACCTCAACGAAGTTGGGGGAGCTTATGTGATACTCGGCGTCCCAGGTTAAGTTTTTTGGAGCAGTTTTTTAAGTACTTCTATGTCCTATATTGATTAGACATGCAATGAAGATGCTTCTAATGTGTTTCATTGTACATATCATCGTTTCAGATGCAATTTCAGCAAAGGAATGACCAGATTAATGTTTTTGGAGCATGTGAACGTGTTTGATGCAGTTTTTGGTGAAGGTTTCATTTTCAACGCACTATAAGCCCTATGTTGACCAAACTTGCATGGATGATAATCTAAGGATGCATACTACCAGGCTTGATTCGGATGCTGAATCTGACCTACATTTTCTGGACGAGTGAAAAGCTTATTTTTTTTATGCAGGTATCATTTCTAAGTAACTCGTATGAGCCCTATGTTGCCCAAACTTGCATGGATATAATATATCTAAGGATGCACACTAATTGACTTGCTTAATATGACTGAATATGACATACATTTCCCAGATAATGGACCAGGTGAGAGTTATGGTTGCAGGTCTATCACCAAGAAACTATAGGGCCTATATGAACCAAACTTGCACAAATGATGCATCAAGGGGTGAAAACTCTCAAACTTGCTTCAGGTGCTGGATTTGACTTACATTTTTTTTGATGGACGATTAGTTTGAAGTTTTTAGACAGGTCTATTCCAAAGTAACTGCAAGACCTATCAGATCAAAATTGCATAAATTCTGCATTTTTGGATGTACACTTTTAGAATGTTGGTTAATTGTGTGACTTTGCCTTACTTAAAGACAACATTCGTGGAGGTGAGCTCTGTAATCTCTGATTACGTATGTTTTTACGGAATAATTGCATTTTACATCTTGCAAAGGATATGGTGTATTTGGATAACCGGGATTCATAAACACCACAAACCTATTAATATATGAAGTCATACAAACTTAACATATTTTATTATTGTTAGTTTTTTACGGCATGTCCTTTTACAAAATGGATATGATAAATAATATGTTATAATAAAAAAAATTCAACGAGATAAATGATAAGAAACAGGCATTCTGGTAGAAAGAAAGAATAATCTTTTTAAAAAGTTAACAAATATCTTGTCCACAATGGACTTCTCTACGGACTACATTATGCTATAAATGTTTTAAACAACTCAGATCTGCCATGTACTCTTGAAACAGAAAGTGATATTCTTTTGAGGCAGTTTTATTCTTTTCACTTTCGTAGCCAGGGCATGCGCACAATTTTGTTGCTGTCTGGGAACTCGTAGCGGGTTTGGTATTCTGTGCTATGGCTTTCGTAAGTTGTCTCCCCTAGTGGTCGTCCGTGCAAAAGGAAATTCGGCTTCGGGTTAATATTAAAGTCACTTGTGGGTATATCCATGGGCGGGGTCTGGTATTTATGCATATACTCGGTTCGTCCGGGGAAGGTGGTGTTTATACCGGCCTGTTCCTGAACGGACAGCGTAACGGGGGCTTTCTTGGTGCTCATTTTCAAAGTACTAGAATCGTCTTTTGACGTGGCGTTGAATGCGTTCTTATGCTTGAGGTCCAAAAGACCGTTTTTTTGTGTAGCAGTAGGGTCGATGTAAAATGTATTATTCCGCGGGTAAAGACTATCAATGGTTTGGTAACCTGAAAAAAATGAAGTTTGGTTAACATTCACTGGTTATTGAATATAATTTTATACAGTACGTTAGATTACATTAAGGAATTTAAAGAAAATATCATTTCGATAAAAAAGGCAAGAACATAGAATATGTCTTTTTTTTCTTTTAGTCGAGAGACTAAAGGGAGGAAACGTGAAAAAAGATGATAAAGACAAAACTATTTTTGAAAAAAAAACAACTTTTCTTTAAAGCAATATGTGCTGCATGTTTGACATCAGAATTTTTTTTTTTTAATTGTAATTAACTATTTCAATGACAGAAAAATAGAACATTTATAAACTTCTGCTGTTCACATTTTCAACAAAAGAACTTTTTATACGCTTTGATTGAAGCAAAATTGAATTATTGTCGTCCTGTACAATAATGATTTCTTGTATAATTCTGTTTATTATATGATTGAATATTTTCCAACTCTCTGATTGGTTGAGATCCAACTATGTTAGAAAAATAATACGTTGTATTGACCTGCACGTGACGTTCCAGGTCAATACAAGGATTCATTTCCTCTACATTGATCTAAAAATAGATTGGGAAATTCCAAATTGATACAAACTGTTTTGGAAAACTATTTAAACGACTATGATTTTTTTTCATGTGAACAAAACATTAGCGAATATATATTTAAGGGTGAGAGGGTGGTAAGAGGGGATGCAGGGACCCCCCTCCAACACTTTTACTGAAAACATTTTTTTTTTACTTTTTGGCAGTCGATTTTCCCTGATGATGCTCCTTCCTTTCAAAATCTTTCCTATAATTTTTTTTTTCATGGCAACTAAAATTGATGAAAAAAAACATTTCAAATGATACGACTGGTAAGGTTTATTCACATTTTAATTCTGCTTCTCTCTTGTATTTGGCTAGGACTTAATTAAATTCAAACAAGTAATTAGTTTTATCATTTTATCAGTGAATCATATAATAAAACAATTATTGCTGTTTTTTCGGTCAATACAATGATTTAGCCATCTTCGAAGTACAATATTCACCTCGCCCTTCGGGCTCGGTGAATATTGTACTCCTCAGATGGCTAAATCATTGTATTGACCTCAAAAAACAGCAATAATTGTATAATATTCACCTGTACAGAAGTATTTCTTCTGAAACATTTTTAAACTTTAATTTGGTTTTATCGATCATAAGGGTTTAGATTACATACAGATTAATCATAAAAACACATTTTACCAGCAAAATAAAATTCTCAAAAATACAGCTCATATTGCTTTAACTTTATGAGATCTTTGAGAAATGTCTTTTCTTAAAGTTTGACATTGTCCTCGCCTTGTACACCTCCATTCTTTGCTGCTGGAGTCTGGCAATATAACGCGGCGCTAAATGTATCTGAAACTCTTTCACAAAGTATGAAAAAAAGAAATAACTATCAATGTGTGATTTTCGAAATTTAAATATTTTTTTTTTTTAGTTTTCTTTCATCTAATTATATATGCATTTTAATCTTTTAATCTCTGACATACATGTGTAGGGTTGCAAGGGTACAATTTAAACAGGCAGTTTAGATTCACGTGATTCGTAGAATGTTAATCTAGACAATTTTGCTTATTCATACCAAAAATATTTAAAGGCAATTATCACAGAATAATAATCTGTAGTGTTTAATAATGAACAAAATACCACATAAATTTCGCATATCACTATGTTAATTTTAATATTCATGATGAGTTTAATTTGCTTGAACGAATATTGAATATTTGTTTTTAAAAAATTTAAGTGTATGGTCGTATTGTACCCCCCCTTTCAATCCAATGACGTTGCATATGAAATATCAGAGATTTACAGCGATATCATTTCTTGTGAAGAAATTCATCATTCAAATGTTATAAATGTTGACAAAAATTATAATGCGTTTTATGTTATAAAGTAAGAATTATTTGCAACGTCAACGTGTATAACACAATGCTCTTCTCGTTTTTATAAAATGACATTTTCTGAATTTCGGACCGGTATAATTTTCCAAGCAAAGGACCAGTACTGTATTGCACATACACGGAAATATTGCATGACGATATTGATCGGTTTGTTCTACCTGTGATCAATATCACTGACTAGAATATTCCCGAATCGCTATTGAATCTAAATCGAAGAATTATCTACTAATATGCCTGTCTATGTGTTCTTTAGAGCCGCATTATTTCAAATAAAAGATAAATTAGAATATACCTTCTGAGCCTAAAAGTGAAAACTCTTACCGTATCATAGTCCTTCCAAACGACAGTTCGACGTAACTAAGCAGGTACGAATTCGTATAAAAGTTTAATGCGTTTATTTAATCACCTTGGCCCTTTTGTTCTATGTCTTTTGTGAAACAAACAATACCCATACGCTTCAATGCAAGGTTTTAAACCTCCGGTTTAAGACCTTCATAATTTGCTATGAATGTGTTTTAATTTAGTTTTTTCTCGATATTAAAATGGATTTAATCTTTGCATGAGTTATACACTTAAGTGCAGAATGTATATATATCTGATTGATTGTCACTAGATATAAATGAGAATTTAAGATATGTTTAAATAGTTGTATGATAAGTGTAGCTGGATGGAACTATTTACAAACTGTGTTTATCTATCCACTTTATATCCATGAATATGGAAGTTCACGATAGACCAATTCAAAGTTTATTTACTTCAAACTTGGTTTGAAGCGAGGTAAAGTGTTATTTTCAGAAGTGACTAATAAGTCTTGATTAGAAGTGTTACAAAATGGAACAAAAGTGAAAGTTCTAACTTATAGATTATGACTAAATATTTTGGACGATGTACGCTCCTACAAACCATAAAGAGATCTATACAGGTGTTATATTCCTATAAGACTCGTTTGACAATATACTAAGTATGGTTGTTGTGTTTGCGTTGCAGTGTGCATCTAAATCTACAGGGACGTAGCAACCGGGGGGAGGGCCTGGCCCCCCACTTTTTCCCCCAACATAACCTTTACTATAGTAAATGTTCAATGATAGGATGGTTGCCCCCCCCCCTTTACAACCATAGTATAGTGATATCAAGGATTGTAGGGAAAACGCATATGACAATACTAGTATACCAACCTCTGATGTTGCTGTGCACCCGAATCTGACTTTGCTGACTATATACTAACTACTGATGTTAAGTTTAGCCGGCAATGTGCACTTTGATGACTATATGCTAACCTCTGCTGTTTAGCCGGCGGTGTGCACCCAAATCTGACTTAAATTGCTAACTATGTACTAACCTCTGAAGATGCGTTTAGCCGGCAGTGTGCACCCAAATCTGACTTTGCTAACTATATATTAACCTCTAAAGTTGCGTTTAGCCGGCGGTGTGCACCCAAATCTGACTTTGCTAACTATATACTAACCTTTGAAGTTGCGTTTAGCCGGCGGTGTACACCCAAATCTGACTTTGCTGACTATACACTAACTACTGATGTTGCGTTTGGCCGCAGGACTCGGATGACAATGTACTAACCTCTGTTGGCCAACAGTGTGCACTATAAATCTAACTTGGAACTAAATCTGACTTGCTTTTAAACTATATACTAACCTCTGATGTTGCGTTTGGCCGGAAGTGTGCAGCCGAATCTGACTCGACTCTGGAGGACTTCAGAGGGTTCCCCATAATACACGGAGGACGTAGTCCTAGGCTCGAAGGCTAGGGAAATACAAATCAATAATATCTTAATTACAATAAAGAAAAAAATGATGAGATTAATAAAAATTACATGCAAGTCACTTTATTTTGTAAATAGAAGAAGAAGAGTGTAAAAAATATATAATTTTAAATTTTCATGAGATAATTCTATTCCACAACTTTCGCCCGCGTGGTGCATTGGTTAGAGCGTATGCTCTAGAGTCGTGAAGTAAGGAGTTGATCCTTACTTCGATCCTTACGATTCGAATCCCACTGTGGGACGTGGAGACAGGTCCTTCGGAAGAGACCGTATATAAACCGAGGTTCCGTGTCGCAGTAGGTGCTGGGACGAAAAAAACCCTCACTGCTCAATGGCCCTACGTGCCAAGTAAAATTTGTAGCTCTCTGTGGCGTCTCCATATGAGTGACAAAATTCTCGAGAGGGGTGTAAAACAATACAACCAATCAATATATTCCATCACTTGTATAACATCTGTGTTAAGTTTGGTAGAGATATTTATGCAAAACTAAAAGACGGGTGATATAAATGATTTAATTTATGTGTTCTAAATACTGTATATTTTTGCGTTCAGTCTGATTTTAAGTAAAAGTCTACGTTTAATTTTACGAAGTATACGTAGTTCAGAAGTTTTACATGTAATTATTACTAGTATTATGATCGTACATTCAGTTTTTGACCCATCACCAAAAGCCATTCCAAACAAATTCCAAACGTTTAGTTCCTCCCCTTAGCTGCTAGCTTGTCCATTCAATAAAATGCCGGTCCTGTACATACGTTTTGTCGTTTATCTTTTTTGTGTCACAGCAATGTAGTATGATGTATAATCATGATAATAAATGGAGTATTTAAATCTACGGATAGAATATTTCTTGTCAATGAATTTTGTTTTCTATACAAAACATTTATTGAAGTTAGAAAGAAAAGTTATTTTATTATAGCAGTTTTTACTTGTCAATATTTTTTCTTATCAGTCCCCCCCCCCACTTCCCACTTTCAAATACCTGGCTGCAACAATGTATAGAATATCTAAACTATCTAAGTTATTCTGTAAGAAGACTGTCAGATAACTGCACTGTTACATACAGTTAGACCAACATTTGTTGGTGATAAGGAACTAGAGCAGAGAAATTTTTAGAATATAAGTAGTATGTATATATGAAATATATGAACAAAATAATGAATAAAAATAATTCAACAGAATGTTCATATTTGAGTAAAATGTAGATTAAGAATGATATTACATTTATCAATTTTAATCACTGCAAAACAAAACAGTTACTTCGGTTCTTTCACAATTTATTACCATTTGCTTCACCTGAAATTTCATGTACTATTAATTTAACATGAATAAATCAACATTATTATCATCACATTTTTTTCCCATTTAATTTTAAAATGCATGGGGAGAATTCCAAACTGAACGTAATATATGACCATCATCTACAGTACATGTATATTCACAATAGCTGTAATTTAAGGCTTCTTTAAAAGTCTTGGATTCAATTTGAATTGACAAGAGATGAAGAAGGGGTAAACTTTTAGCCAATTCTTTTTGCTAAAAACAAAGAAAACTTTTCATATGAGTTAAAGACTTTTCATATGAGTTAAAGACTTTTCACATGAGTTTTTAATTTTGAAAGAAGTAACAGCCTTAAACACAATGCACCTTATCCCTGGTCTGACATCATTGTAAATTTCTAACCCCTCACCCCCCTCTTCTCAATAAAAATTGTTTTTGAATAAATTAAGCTATAATTATGTAATAAATAGATAAACAAATGAATCTCTAACAAATATTTCCTAAAAAAAAGCATTCCATAAACAAGGTGAGATTTTTTAAAAAGGCTACATGAAAACAAACAATTCTGAGACTATGGTAATTCTAGGGTGCTATATTAGACTACTAAATAGGATCCAAGATTAGTGTACCGGTACATGTAATAAAATTGATAGACTACAAACCTGTCCAAGGCCTGCGTGAGTTGAGTGTGTTTATGTACTCAGTACGCTGGCTCTTATCGACCCACTTTGGTTCCATTCTGACCGGTTCCCTTGACCCACGGGTCAGGTTGTTACGGTAACCTGTATATCTGTCCGTAACTCCCACAAAATCTCCAAACTGTCGGATGCGGTCTGCAGCATTGTAAGTGGAAGTGTCCAAGGCCTGTCAAGGAATTAAAACCCTTAATATATAGCAAATAAAATCATTCACTCCAGAAATATATGCATTTCAATACTTTTTTTAAAAAAACAGCTTTTCTATTCTAAAACTTTTTATATCTATTATCCCTTGCTGATGGGATTCACAAAGACTCTTTCAAATTCATTTTTTAAAGGTTTTAAAAGGTGGTGTTATTGTATTTATATACTATTTTTCAAAGTTGTTAAGAAATCCACAAATAATATAGCTCTGGTGTAAATTTTGTAAATAAGTTTCTATAGTATGTCAAGGGGAATAAACTCTTCAGTCAGTAATAGAGATGCACGAGGATGTAGGCCTTGTAGGGTAATGCTGCTTGAAGATATTATGTTTATGTCCCTCTTATAAATCAATATCAGGGAGTTTATCAGTTATCAAATACATCACTTCACACTTTTACTGGCCATAAAAAAGCCAGGAAAGATTTAAAACCATAACATTACTGTTGGCACTAAAGCTATAAATTCAAGAGCATAAAATAAAATTTAAAAAATCATGCCCAATAATGCAGCTAGTGAATGGATTATACTTATTTTTAAAAAAAAATGGAAAAAAGAGAAGATTTCAAATAGTACACAGTTGGAAAGTGTTCCCAAATTTTATATGGGTAAACATGTATATCAATTGCAACATTGTTTAATTACAACATTGAGAGAAAAACACTTGTACATTAGCTACTATATAAACATATGAATTTAATGAAAAAAAAATTGCAAATGGAGCCAAATTAGTCCTAACTTATATACCAAGATTCTGCAAGTTGAGTGTTAAGATATGATTTATAAGGTACATGTATCAACTTTGCAATCGATCAACAACATTGCACACATCAAAGTTGCAACAACTGACTTCAAAGCATTCCCTCTGTTCTGGACTCTTGCTTGGCCTCTAAAGCTTGATAAGGCAACTACCTGTAGATAATATGATACAAGAAAGCTAATTTAGATCCTCCTTGGAAGAAGATTTAAGTTCAAGAATTTTATGGCATATTATCAAAATATTTGTGATCACAGCAAAAATCAGAAACATTCTGCAGAAAAAAATCTTAAGTTTTGTTTCACTTGGCAAGAATTCATTATTTGTATTTTCAAATTGTATGCGCATGTACTAATTAGCACTTAACCAGTATTATGAAGAGCGAAATACAAAACATGATACAACGTAAATTCAACATTTGGAGCTGACTTGTAATGTTCTTACAAAGAGAAATCTGTGCATAGTTCAATCTTGTGATGCTAACTAGACATTGTAGCAATATTGTTAACAATCACTTAAAATAAAGCTGTCAAAACATTCTCAGTGCTGCATCTCAAAACTTGTGTCATCAGTGTTCTCTTGTGCACAAGAGGGAACTGTTACCTTATATTGGACCAAGAATCACTGGAATTCAAGTTAGATTCTCTTTTATAATTACATTATGAGGTATCTTAAGTTTTATCATACATTTTGCCTTCAAGTTGAAGGAAATGACAGTACATATAACCTTATTTGGTCATAAGTCAAAAACATGTACATGTAGCTTTAATAATTACCAAAATGTCTTGTAAAGTATATACCATTACAGAGAATTTTCATGTTTTACAATTTAAGTGTATGTCTTTTCTTCTAACACTTAAAATTCTGGTAACACTTGTTTCCAGAAATTATATTTGACTCTTCTACTAAATATGTTAAGGACTGGCCATTCTGAATTATTTTCTATGTTTAGCACATCCCTAGACAGACTGGTTTAGAGGTCATGGAATTAAAAACAAACACAGATTTTAAAAAGTTATCTTCGAATTTAGGACGGATGCTAAACAAAGAAAAAACTTGGAATGGCCAAATACACATATAACATCTTTCACCTGTAGCACTAACTGACAGGTAGCAATAACTCACCTGTTGGATCCCCCGGAGGTTGTCCACCCCCCACTGGTGAAGCTCTCGCACCTGGTTCTCTTGTTTGTCTCGTAACGAGTTGACGTGGAGTCGGGATTTGAGGTCCTTGATGTACCCTGCTGCATTGGCCAGATTGTCTGCTGGTCCTGAATTATATAAGCGGAATAAATTTATATAATTTACTAAATACATGTAGTATAATCAAAAGGGTATACATCTATATGATGGCATACTGAGTCTTGGTCATTCAAAGCAAAACTTAAATTGCATCTTCTCCTATTGAAATTATATTCCAATAGTCATTAAAAATAAAACTGACTTTTGGAATGTTTATAAGCAAATGTCGTTTTAGTGCGTGTTTTCTAAATATTTATGGTAATATTTTAAACAAAAGAAACAAACTTACTGACACCCTCGGGGACGCCTGTACGAGGATCATAAAACCTCTTAAAACTGTCCGAAGTGGACATGATATTCCCGTCCAGTTTAAGATGATCCACGGCATTGTTGATCCTCGTCAGCTCGTTCGCCAGTTCATTGGTACAGTAGTACTGTCCACTCTGCATGAGGTCTTTAATCTCCGTTTGGACAGCGTTGGCCGTGGCTATAAGGCCGGGATCTGGTCGCCCTACCCTCTGATACATTATTCTTGATTGTTATTCAAACGTCAGCGTGAGAAAAAAGACAACTGACAGTCACTGTTTCATCCCCAATATCCACGTTTAAACGTTAGCAACGACCTATCTCTTATAACCTCCGGTGTAAACAAAATCGAGATCGTCTTTCTGTCACGGTTGTTTATATTAGATACAAACGCCCGTGTGAGCTAGATGAGCAGGTGCGCGACACGGGACGTAACTCGAATGGATTTGTAAAGAAAAACTGTTCAAAAGCTCAAATACCGCTCAGTATCTTTGACTAATTTCTTTTTATAATAAATTATTTATAACAAACTATCCATTTATCAAAACAATTTATCATTTTTTTTTTATAAATAGGTTGTTGAAATCTATGTATTCCATGTCTTATATCTAATTAGTCTACCCCGTCAGAACAGAACGTTAATTCATGCAGGAAATAGAGATTATGATTTTTTTTTTTAAAGGCACATTTAAGCTTAAAATTTAGGATTTTTCAGTTGTAATACTGTTTAAAACTACGTATGAAAGCCGGATAGGCACATTTCTGAGAAGATTTTTTTTTTAACTCGTTATAACGAGTTACCCAGTAGTTATCTCGTTAGCCTACCCGGCTTTCGTACATGTATTATATTTATTTACATAAGCTTACCATTTTATATCAATCTCAATTTTCAACGTTAAAAAGCTACCCAGGTTCAATATTTCTCATTTAACAATTTATTTCACTAAAAAAGAACCACGGGTTAATTTTCAAACCCTATCTAAATTCATTACAACATCGCAGTCTGCAAAAAAAGTTGCTGCATTTCATTTCCGGAATTTTGTATTGCAGTACCGACATTTTTTTTTTAAATTTCATTTCCGACCATATTTTTTTTCATTTCCGACATTTCTTCGGATTTTTTCATTTCCGAAATTTTTGCACGATATACCTCTCCGACAATTTTATGTTGATCAAGGAGATGGAAAAGGAATTTATTTCAAACATTTTTAAAATATACCTCCTAATAAATCTGATTTCTTATTTAAAATGAACATTTGAAAAGGAAATCTAGATGAGCAGAAATCCATAACACTTCAAAGTGCCTCACCAGGAGAAGAAAAATCAAAGTACTCAGAAGTACAGAGAGCCGGGCTCATTTACAGAGTAGAATTGATTTCTTATATGAATCACGTTTATATTCTGATGAAAAAATTATTTTAAAACTATCAATATAAATGATAAGACACTGACAGTGAGTTTTTCAATCCTAATACCACGGTCCGATTTTGTCAGAATCAGAATTAATCTGGTACCGCAGCTGAATGTAAACAAACAGGCCAGTCTGGTTCCCTCTCCTGCTTTACTTCGTATGTGTAGAGAACTACGGTAACACTGATTATCAAAAATCCTTACGCTAATGAACTATGTTCTTTGAGTTATGAAGTTTTCAAAGTCATTACTACTAATGTTTATTTCATATAGATAAAACTTCGTTTTATTTTTGTGCTTTATTTAACGTTTGTATTATCTCAAAAGCGGTTGAGAGTAAGAACTATATTTTTGCACGTAACTTTAAAATGGCGACTATGGGGTTAACATCCTGCCTTGAACAGGATCACATAAGCCGGCAATTGCTCTTTGAGCAATAAGCCCGGCTAAAAATTCTCTATTCTATACATTCGCTCCAGTGATAGGTGAACAAAACTCATTATTTTGATTTCGATGGTTCTTTTAATTTTTGCTATGTCTAGTCTTCAATTTTGCTTTAATTGCCGAAAAGTACAACTTGAAAAATTCGGAAATAAAAAATTTTAAAAATGTCGAAAATGAAATATAGCAAATTTCAAAAAATGAAATGCAGCCGAAAAATTGAAGTCAGGATAAAAAAAAAATAAGTTCTGCATTTTTTTATGCTCCGTATTCGAAGATTCGAGGGTATATAGTTTTTGTGCTGTCCATCCGTCTCTCTGTCTAAAAAAGTTTGCCTGGTGTCCACGAAATCTTTAACCTTAGGTAAAAATCTAAAAAAAAAAATTTAAAATTCTAAAACCTGTTTGGAAATTTGAAAATTTAGATTTTTGAACTTAAATATTAAGTTTCAATATACCAAATCAGTTTGAGTTTTTGAAACTTAATTTAGAAATTTGAACTAATACATAAACATTCTAAAACTCTAAACATTCTAAGTGTTACACTGACCTAAATGTTCAAAATTCAAATTTCCAAAAACAATTTTTGTATTTTAAAGCCGCTTAACCCGAAACAGGCACATATTATCCTACTCAATAAAAGTACGTCATTACATAGATAATATATAAAAATAAATTATAAGATTGATTTAATAGTTTATTACAACAATCCTTACATGGAAAACGCAGATCAAAAACCTTATTGACAAACAGTAGTTCCTGACGGAAGTTAAAGATATGTTTGCCGTGTTAAACAGTATTTTTGCACAGGTGAAACCGAACAAAAATTTCTGGAGTATGATAAGCTACCAAAAATGAAGCATTCTTGCAAATTCGACGAAATTTTATTCGGTATTAACAAAGTACTGGTCAGGAAAAGAACACGATATTCTAATGCATATTATAAAGGACTGACGTTTATCCTGGATCTGCGCATGTGCGCGGGAAAAGCATCGCGAGAATCATCAGGTCGAGGAAAATATTTTTGTGACGTCTGTTCAGTGAGGGACACAAATAGACCAATCAGCTCAATGAGTTGCATTTAATGCATTTATGGGTTACTACATAAAATACTACATGTGTTTTTCAAAAAGGCTAGTTTTTTAAATCGCTCTCAGAAAGACTTGATGCATTATGTACATTATTATCTACTAATCCCATGCTCATATTTGCATACAAATGATTATTAATGATGAAAATTAAAGTTTTCCCCACTCCATTGTACAGATCCGTTTATTTAGAGTTTCCCCGTGCTGTACTGCTAGTGGACATTTTCGGTTGGGTGAACATTTACGGATCCTCAGTGTGGAGCGCATTATGCGCAAAAAATATTTTATGTCAAGTACTATGTATGGAAAGTAATTTAAACTGCTATGTTTACACCCTGAATGGGATATCGTCAATTATCCCTTTTGGTTTTTTAATATGAACCACATAACATATGTAGATGAAACTTACATACTATACATCTTGCCTTCTTAGAAATATAGTTGGGCTAATAAAATAAAATTGGTCAAGGAATTCCAGGCCTCTAAAAACTATTCCAGTTTGAGGGCACAACCAAGCATTTCGATGAACACCATTAAGAAAAATTAATTCAGGTAGGTAGCATCGGTTTTTTTTTTTAAAGTGGGTGGGGGGATAGAACAGTTAGAATAAAAATCAACTACCTAGAAGAAATCTGACAAGTAAAATAGGTTCCAATATCTTTCACTACTAAATTTTATTCATTCACTACAATTTACTGCCAAACTCCAAATTTCACTTTCGAATTATCCCGAACCAATGCTGATAACCTACCTGCAAGATTTTTTATATTATTTTCAAGGGGTCAGAAATACTGTGGTTCATATGTAAAGAATATAATTATATTATTTAGTAGTATTCTGGTTTTGGCATTCGGTATATTGTGCAGATGTATACATGATATTCTGTGGAATACTTTTTGTTGTTTTGAACCATTAAGAAATGCAGAATCGAATGCATCTAATAACCATTTTGATTGATCAAATTATATCATTTGTTTGTATTAGTTATTTCATTTTGGCACAACATGGTTTCCACACTTCTTTATCCATAGTTGCTGACATCTGTAGAAGTTCACCCAACCGAAAATGTCCATTGAAAAGACAATTGCACGTGATTATTCCTCGGTACAAAAAGCAACCAACTCTGAGGTGCTCTCAATATTGACTATCCCTAACTCATGTGTTTGTAGTAAAAACGTAGTAGACCGTCATGCTTTTCGGTTCATTCACGAGATTGGACCATTGTTTGCTGTAAACATGCGAGACAACGTTATCATGAATATTTCAATAAGAGGCGGTTTTTTATCCGACACGGAGAGAAAATAATTTTTACCAAATAATATTTCATACCTTTTAAAGGTGATGGAGTGGAATTGTCTTACTTGCAGAAAGTATATAACTTATATAACTTGATGAGACACCACATATATTTATTACTTTTAAAATAACACTAATACGGCATATATAGCTTTAAGATCTGTTGTGAAGTCAATTTTGAAAAAAATAAGTTTATCGGATATATCTAATAATGAAGATAATTCAAACCCGAGTATTTTTTTCTCTATTATTAGAAGCCTTAGTCATAATACATCTTTTCAAAATTAAGAAATTAATTGAATATAATCCATAGTAATTTTTATATTAATATGCATATTTAAAGAATAAAGGAAAATCAGATATTTTAAATGATTTTTTTAAAGGAGCTTAAATATTATCCGTGTACAGGTAATATATGTACTTTGTTGTGAAAAAAATGTTCGGGTGTGTTCTTCATGAGATAAACATGTAAGCGATAAATTCAATTTTTCGAAGGTGATATCAACAATGATCAACATAGCATTATTTTTTGTGTGGCCTAACAAAAATTATTTTTTTAACTTTTGAATTTTGATATCTTTTAAAAGAAAAGGACTTTGGGAATATAACTTGACAAAAGTTGAAACAATTTATGGACAATTATTTTTCAAGAAGAAAATCGAATATATATTTTTAGCGATCAGAATCGGACCAAGCGGCTTTAAACGTTTGACTTTTTATTCTACCGTTTGTTCAGAAAGTTTAATCTTAACAATCTAAAGTTCAGTAACATTTTTCGTAAAATTATTTAAGATTTACTTAAAACTTTTAAATTTCAACTTTCAAAACGTTTTCGGTTTTTTTTTAAATTTGTTATTTTGATTCAAACATTCAAATTTCAAATATCTAAAACACTGAGGGTTAGATTTTTACTTTAAATATCCAAAATATCAATTTCCAAACCCGATTTGAATTTTGAATATCAGTTCAATATTCTAAATATTTAAAACCTCTTTTGCAAAACCAAACGAGTTTTTGAAATAGTTTCAAAATTTAAACAAGGTTTGCAATTTGATATTTTGCATATTTGAAATAAACTTCTAAAAAATCAAAATGTAAAAAAGTGTTTTGGTTTTTTAATAGTTGAGTGTTTGAATCAAAATTCTAAATTTCTAAAAATCTAAAACGT